GGCTCGCCGGGCCTGTCGGGGGGCCGGGCGCCGCGGACTCACCAGTGAGCCCACTGCTGTGCTGTCTCCAGGGTCCGGTACTGGGACCTCCTGCTGCTCATCCCCAACGTGCTGTTCTTCGTCTTCCTGCTCTGGAAGCTCCCGTTTGCCCGGGCCAAGATCCGCCTCACCTCCAGTCCCATTTTCATCACCTTCTACATCCTGGTGCGTCTGCTCCCACTCCAGTGGCCTCAGCACAAAGGGAAAGTAACGTGCAGAACCAGCCCAGGCACGGTTCTCATTCTCTGCCTCTCTGGCCTTAGCTCAGTGAGCTCCCCCGTCAGCCAGGAGCAGCTCAGAGCTCAGGTCTCCTCCAGAGCCCGTGTCCTGGAACTGACCTTGTTCACAGCCAGCCTGTGGCGGGCAGGGGAGGGGCCCTGTGGAACTCGAGGCAGGCGTCCCCAATGGATGCTGAGTGGGGGCTCTGCAGCAGCCTCACCCACCGTCCGTCTGTCCTTTCCTCTGTCTGTCCTGGGAGACCTCCTGGGCGGACTTCTCACGGCAGGCGGAGCCTGACTTCTTATTACGTGGCAGTGCTGGTGCGTGGGACAAGGTCCAGGGCTGTTATTGGGAAGGCACCTCCCACCTGGGTGGACACCAGCTGCGGGCTCCCCAGGGGTGGGCTGCCCAGCTCCGTCCTCCCACGAGCCAACTGGCTCTGGGGTCCCCTGTGTGTGGCTCAGGCAGGGGCAGGAGAGAGCTGGGAACCCTGCAGGTATTCCCGGAAGTCCAGGCCCTGGCCAACTGCTGCCCTCTTGGCTCTAAGAAGGCAGGGCTGGGGGACTCCTGCTTTCTCCTCTGCTCCTCCTGTGGCCTCTCTGGCCACCTTAATTCCTGTGTATTTATTCAGCAGATACTAAGCACCTACTAAATGCCAGGCAGAAGTCCTCTCTGCGGGGAGGGCAAATCCATGGCTGTGTACCCAGGGCGGGCAGTCTGCATTCTTGGCCTGTTTCCTCTTGGGGGCCTTTGGCTGCAGAGCCTGAGACACCGGAGAGGAGTCTGAGCCCTGGCCGTGCAGCTGTGTGACCTTGGCCAGCGGCTCTGCCCTTCTGTGTCCTCTGGGTCCCATGTGGTAGGTTGGCTCTAGCGTGTGTCGTCCTTGTGAGCACTGATCGTGACCACCCAGGGCGAGCAGGTGGCAGTGTCGCCTTTGCAGCCGGCCCCCCAAGTGGTGTCAGCCTCCGTGGTTCAGGCAGTTTCCAGAGCCCAGAGGAGAGGGACTGAGTGGGGCTCGGGTACTGGGCTTGTTTTCGCCATTCTCACCCTGCAGTGCTCCCAATAACCAAAGGCAGCGGGTCCAGTTTTTGCTTCCACTTTATAGTTGGGGAAATTGACAGAGGTGCAGCCCCCGTCTGAGGTCACAGAGCGGGGAAGCAGGCTCTCTGGCCCCACCCTTGCTAATGAACCATGCTGCCCAGGAAGTTGGGTGCAGGGCAGAGACAGCCGTGGAGTCAGCGCAGTGGGGGCCTGTTGCCACCTGGAGCCACTGCTGGCCTCCCTGCCTCCCGCCCTGACCGGTCACTTCCTTGCCATGAGGAGGGCTCCCGCAGAGATGGCTGGGCTTGCTGGTCCACCCCACGGACCTCTGTCCTTGACCCCTGCCCGTTCCCCTCGCTCTCACCTCCAGGTGTTCGTGGTGGCCCTGGTGGGCATCGCCCGGGCCGTGGTGTCCATGACAGTCAGCACCTCTAGCGCTGCAATGGTGGCCGACAAGGTGTGTCTCGGCTGGTCCGAGAGGGAAGGCAGGGAGGCCTGGCCTCGGCTGGGTGACCCCAGGCTGACCCAGCCCACTCTGTCTAGATCCTGTGGGAGATCACCCGCTTCTTCCTGCTGGCCATCGAGCTGAGCGTGGTCATCCTGGGCCTGGCCTTCGGTTCGTTGCCATGGGAGCTCCCCGTCAGGGTAGGGCCGACCGGACACCCTCACCAGGCCACCTGCCCCCGGCTGAGCCGTGTCCCTTCCAGGTCACCTGGAGAGCAAGTCAAGCATCAAGCGGGTGTTGGCCATCACCACCGTGCTGTCGCTCGCCTACTCGGTCACCCAGGTAGGAGGGTGCCAGGTTGGGAAGCTCATCAGGTGCAGCTGGCAGACCCCAGGCAGGTCCCGGGGCCCCCACTAGAGATTCTGACCCAGGGCATGTAAGTGTGGGAGGGGGAGGCACAAACCTGCCCGTTTACCTGCGGCCCAGGTAGGGAAGATGCAGGTGTACAGACCCCTGGGAAAGCTGCATAGGTACAGGTTGGGGGCTGCACCTCAGCTTTGCTGCTCTGGCTCAGGGGTGGTTCTGGGTGCTGGGGTGGGAGTGGCCAGATGGAGACCCGGAGGGGCTCTGCCTGAGGAGAGGCGGTGCTCTGCAGGGCACCCTGGAGATCCTGTACCCTGATGCCCACCTGTCTGCCGAGGACTTCAACATCTACGGGCACGGGGGGCGCCACTTCTGGCTGGTCAGCTCCTGCTTCTTCTTCCTGGTGAGGGCTAGGGCAGGGCTGGGGCACGGAAGGGCCATGCTGGGCCGATCCCGGAGCCAGCAGGGTGCCCCACGTCCCCCAGCCCTGTCCTGTCGCCGCAGGTCTACTCGCTGGTGGTGGTCCTGCCCAAGACCCCGCTGAAGGAACGCATCTCCTTGCCCTGTGAGCTGGTGCGGGGTGGGGGGACACGGGGCTTGGAGGAGCAGGAGGGAGGCGGAGCCTGGCCGGCTAGGCAGGGCCTCAGACCCCCCTACCCACAGCGCGGAGGAGCTTCTACGTGTACGCGGGCATCCTGGCGCTGCTCAACCTGGTGCAGGGGCTGGGCAGCGCGCTGCTGTGCGCCAACATCATCCAGGGGCTCTGGTAGGCACGCCGAGGGCGGGGCATGGCCCGGGTGGAGGCGCGGCCGGGAAGGGCAGTCAAAGGCCTAGCCCGCCGCTGACCATCCCTCCTGCCGCCCAGCTGCGTGGACGCCACCACCTTCCTCTACTTCAGCTTCTTCGCACCGCTCATCTACGTGGCCTTCCTGAGGAGCTTCTTCGGGTGAGTCCGCTGGAACCCGCTGCGCACCGCCTCTGGGCTCGAGCGCCGCCGCGTGCCCACCGGTGGGATTGCGCCTTGTGCTTGATGGGGATATGGGTGTGTGTGTGTGTGCGCGTGTGCGCGCGCGTCCACCCATACACGCAGTTACTCTCCCACATCCATACTGAAGAGCAGTGCACGTGCACACAGCACGTGCAGGTGCTCCAGCCGGGAGGGCCAGGCCAGGTGTTGTGAGCCCCGCTGGACAAAGGCCTTGCAGGTGGCAGTTGTGCAAGGGCTAAGCCCGGGGTGGTGGTGGCTGCAGACTCGGGATCCAATTGGCTCTGCAGCTGGTGTGGCGAGACTGGTCTCTGTGTTTCAAGGCCCTGGGGTGGAGCACGGGGAGTAGGAGAGGTGAGGATGGGCCTCAGTCTCCTGTTTGTGAGCTGGGAGCAGCCCCCACCTTGGAGACATTCTGAGCATTGAGGAACCAGGGAAGGCGGAGTGGACGACGGTCCTGGGAGCAGGGTCCGGCCCCAGCCTGGGATTCTGGAGTTTTCCTGATTCAGGGCTGCCTGCCCCGGCTCCCAGGGCCTGAGAGAGGCCCAGGCTTGTGGCTGCGCTCGCTGGACCCAGGCACCAGGTTTTGGGCAACCGTGAGCATCTTCCTAGAGACCTGCAGCCTCTGGACTGCCCCTCAGTCCCCTCTCTTCCACCGCCAGCTCGGAGCCCAAGATCCTGTTCTCCTATAAATGCCAAGTGGATGAGGCGGAGGAGCCAGACATGCACCTGCCCCAGCCCTATGCCGTGGCCCGGCGGGAAGGCGTGGAGGCCTTGGGGGCTGCTAGCACACAGTTCGACTCTGCGGGAGTGGCCTACCTGGACGACGTGGCCTCCATGCCCTGCCACACAGGCAGCATCAACAGCACGGACAGTGAGCGCTGGAAGGCCATCAATGCCTGAGGGACTGCGCTCAGCCTGGGGACCCATGGGGCAGATGTGGGGAAGCCGGGCCAGTCTCCAGGTAGGGCCAGCCCTGAGTCTGGAGGCCACTTCCTGTTGTCTCCCTGTGCTCCAGCTAAGGACCCCCCTGTGGCCACTGCCCTCACCCTGTTCAGTGCCAGGCCCAGATGCCATCCCCAGGGCACAGCCTGGCACCCAGGATGGCTCTGCTCATCCCCCAGTGCAGTGGTCTCCTCAGAGCCTGTTGAGCACAGGCTGCAGTGTGTATATTTTCTTGATCTGTTTTCTAATAAAAAGGGAAAAGCAGGAGGTGTTGCTGTGGAGGTTTCACAAGGATTCAGGGGTTGTTTCTGGGGTGTTGGCAGGAGGCTGGGAGGCTGTGGGGGCCTCGGGAGAGAGAGCACGGCTGGCCATTTGGGACGTGTGTCCCTCTCACCGTGTAGCGGGGCTTGGTGTGAGCCTGTGGGTCCTGTGCTTCCTCCCCTTCCCCTGCTCCGCCTCGGTTTTACCATCTCTAAAGTGAGGATAAGAAGGCCCATCTTGCTGCACTCGTGCTGTACCCCTGTTCTCCCAGCACTCTGGAGGCTGAGGCAGGAGAATTGCCATGGGTTGAGGCCAGCCTGGACTCTATCGTGAGACTTTGTCTCAAAAACAAAACAAATAGAACAAGAACCACAAAGAGAAATCCTGTCTCACAGGATCTTGTAAGCACTGACAATAGTGCAGATGCCTACATTATAGGAATGGCCAAAGGCTGCTAGGTAAAAGTAGTATAGGCAGCTAAGTTAGAGAAATACTTGATATACAGCCGGAAAGGGACGGGGCTCTCACCCAGACATCAGAGTGGTGCTGGGAGGTGCGTCTGGAGGGGGCAGGGCCTGGAGATTCAAATCACAAGGGTCAGATTTGCATACTTCCCTCTGGGAGGAATGGAAACTGGAGAGGATACTGTAAAAAGGCCCCGCCTTTGTGGGATTTCCCACCGGATTGGACCACTTAGCTCCCTGGGGCGGGCCATCCTCGCCCACCCACCAGACTGAGACTAAGAAGAGACTAGTAAAACCAGAGGTGGCCACCAGGGTGAGAGACGTCAGCCGCGCCTTTGCTGTTTCCCTGCTTCCGGACTGGATCAGCGTTAGCTAAGCAGCTACACTTGTCACCTTCTTGGTTGACTACTTGACCCCGTTGTGCACACGTCCTGTAAAGCGCTCTTGGAGAGACGACCTCGGTGGTGACCCACTCCTGTCACGCAGGAGCTACTCCTGTTGCCCAATACCCTTTTCCTACTCTTAACCTCCCCTGTCCTCTGCAATTCATTCTTCAGTTTTAGGGGACACGAACTCGCGCCTGTGTGACATCTAGCACGTTGAGAGTTGTATGTCTCCTCTCACGAGCGCCCTGCGCCAGGACCTTTTACCAACAAGATGGTAGTGGCTTCACATCGGCAGGCTGTCTGCACTGAGGAGGAGACCGGGCGGGAGCTCTGTTCCTGCAGTGGTAGGGAGTGGGGACGTTTTCTCCATCTCCTCCTTCTGGGATTCCTTCACCAGCAGAAAGAATGGCTCACCAGTTTTCAAGGCCAAGTGCTGAAACTTCTTTATTTGGCACTCAGAGGTTGGGAGGAGTAGTTTCTTTAGCTCCAAAGTTGGGCTCCAGGAAGACAGAGAATCGGTGTGGATGGGCAGAGGGGATCTGGCCACTTGCCGCCTGCATCTCAGGTGACTCGGGAGGTGAATAAAGTCTGGCTCAGTCCCAGGGGGATGTGCAGGGATGCCTTGCTGAGGGTGGACACAGCCAGACCACAGTGGCTTCAAAAAAGAGAAAGTCTGCCGTGGTGGCCCAGGCCTGTAATCTCAGCACTGGGGAAACTGAGGCATGAGGATCGCCATGAATTCAGGGCCAGCCTGGGCTACCTAGTGAGTGTTAGGGACCTGACACTGCTGCCATCACAGGCTGTATTCTCCTGGTTCTTCTTGGCTCCTAAAATGACCTCATGCTCTTATCTTTAGTTTCCCTCCCCCAAGGCCACAGCGATCCGGAGGGGTTAAACCTAAGTTTCTGCAGGCCTGAACCCGTAAAAGACAACCTGGCCCGTGATAGGTTAAAAGTAGACCACTCCTCATAAATAAGCAATAGCCCAGCCCAAAAATAATAAAAGGACCATTCCTTTGTTTTTTTCTCTCTTCCCTTTCTCCTCTCTCCCTGACCTGCCTTTGTGAATAAAGTCTCCTGTGGGACCTCTCGGTGTGTGGCCTAGTTGTTGAGTATCACTGTGTCTCTACAGTGAATTCAAGGCCAGCCTGGAATACATAGCAACACCCTGTCAAAAAAAAAAAAAATCCAAAAGCACAAATAATAAGGTTATGGGACAGCAGTCCAGACTGCTGTCGGGGCTGCATAACATTCCCCATTGCCCAGATTCCCTACATGTGTGCTTCATCCTCCAGGGGCCTCTTGGTCCCAGGATGGCTGCTGAAGCTCCAGCCATCCCATCCTATCTTGTGCACTGCTGTGATCAGCCTCCCATTTCTGGGGGAGGAGCTATCTTAGAGGTACACTTAATAACTCACTCCCACTTCCTTGGGCAACACTAGCTGACCTGGTCACTCTGTCTGCAGGAGAGCCTGGAAAAATGCAGGGTGTCCTTTTTGCTGTTGGAAGGGGCTGGACCTATGCTGCTCCCAATAAATTAGCAAGCAGGTGAGAAAATGGGTATCAGACACCTGACAGGGTTTGCTATGTGTCCTGCAGTAATGAACTATTGGTTAAGGAGCTGGTGGTGGCACACAGCTCGGCTGGCCATAGTTCTGTTTTCTTCTGGTCACTCAGGTTTTATTTACTTATGAATCTATTTATAGACAGGGTCTCGCTTTGTAGCCCAGGCTGACCTTGAACTTGCGATCCTCCTGCCTCAGCCTCCCAAGTGTGGGGATTACAGGTGTGTGTCACCACACCAGGTTTAGGTAGGTATGGAAATGATTAGTTTATGAACAAAAAATCACAGATGCAGATAGCAGCTCCCTGTGACCCTTCCTTCCTGACTCCCTCCCTGACCCAGCGATAGGCAACTGGAAGTCTATGTGTGGATTTTGTGCTGACCCACGCAGCAGCCTGTGTGTGTGTGTGTGTATACACGCATGCGCCCACAGTCAGTGTCTTGTGTACTTTGGAATTAACCAGATGAGCTCGCAGCCTCCCCTTCCGGCCTCATCTGTGTTGACACCAGCTATGGTGCAGTGCTCTGCTATGTAAATAGAGATTCATTTCTGTGTCAGTTCTCTCACTTCAAGTTGTTTGCAAACTAGGGCAGCAAACGAGGTTCCCCTGTGCCTGGTTTTCTCAAGTGCTCTCCAGGGAGCTGGGCGTGGTGGTGCACACCTGTAATCCCAAGGCTCCGGGAGGCTGAGGCAGCAGGATCCTGAGTGCAAGCTCAGCTTGGGGACCATAGTGACTTAGCCAGACCCTGTCTCAAAATTTAAAAAAAAAAAAAAAACAACAACAAAAAAGAAAAACAGTAAAAAACGAGCTGGGGATGTAGCTCAGGGCCAAGGCCCTGGGTTCAGTCTGTCCTACTGCAAAATGGAAGGAACCTGTCCCTCCTGGACCATCTGAGAGAGAGTGATGGCGACATTGCCTCAATCCCCTGGAAGACCTGAGTGCAGCCTCACTCTGCGAGACCACAGGGCCACACCCACACCAGGAAAGCCACAGCCCGGCCCCCGCTCCTGACTCTCAGCCCCGGTTTGGGCTTTGCCAGCGGCCCCAGAGGACCTGGCTCAGGACCACACATTGCCTGCCCAAGCTGCCCCCAAGTCTCTCTCGGTCTGGCTTCTTCCCCGGGCTTTCATGACTTAGATTCCTGCATTTTTTCCCAGAGAGATGGAACCCAGGGCCCTTCCACTGAGCTACATGCCTGATCCTTCTAAACATTTTTAAAAGCTTTGAATTTGGATCCTCCTTCCTCAGCCTCCTGTGAGCCTAAACGCTCCATTCCCAACCTGCCAGCCATGGAAGGCTGAAGATCGTTTGTCATCGGACTTTTAAATGATTACAGAGTCACTTTTCTCACAACCATTAAAAATGCACAGCCGTGGGAACTACTCCTTTGTGAGCTGGGATTCTCACCCTGCCACCTTGTGCTGTAGATCCCCCATCTGTCACTAGAGGGCGCGCTGGAACTGGCTTCCTCGTCTCTATGGAGACCATCAGGAACCCGCAGAACTAAACCCGAAAAAGTCCTTGGTCTGAGGCTGCCTGAAGAGCTCTAGCAAGAGGCCGGACGTGCTGATATAAAAAAGGGATGTCGGCTGGGCAGGGTGGTGCACATCTGTGATCCAGCACTCGGGAGGCCGAGACAGGAGGATCGCTGCGAATTCGAGACCAAACTGCCCTGAGATCCCATGTCAAACCGCGATAAAGAAACAAACTAAAGAAAAATAATAAGGGAGTCTCCTGAGAAGTCCTGTGAAGGCTCCCTTCCGTCACTGAATCTGCTTCATTTGGAAAGCAGGGACTATGCAGCGAGGATGCTTTTTACAAGCTGGTGATAGCGGAGGGTTCTTCTGGTGGGGGCTTCGTGGTCCCACATCGCCACGCTGTCCTTGCCCCACCTCACGCCTGCTACTCCTCTCCTTCCCTGTTGTGCATGAGGCTGAGATGTGTGGCAGGGGGGCCGGTTGTCTTTATACAGGTGTCTTCCTGGCCTCGAAGGCCCCGCTGTCTCTCTGGGGCTAATTGCTGATCGGCTTTTTTTTGGCGGGTGGGGTGGGGTGGGGGTGAGACAGGATCTCATTATACAGCCCAGGCTGGCCTCAAACTCGCCTCCATCCTCCTGCCTCAGCCTCCCCCGAGCTGACATTACAGATGTGCACCAGCCCTCCCGGCTTCCCGACCCTCTGCCGCCCAGGGCCGAGGGGGAGCCAGCGCAGCGGGGGAGCCCAGCGAGATGCGCAGCCCCTCTCACAGCCGTGACCGGCAGAAGAAAGCCCTTCTGGGCCGGGGAGAGGCAGCCGTCTGCTCCCAGCTACGGGGCAGAGGTGGGCATCCCCGGGTCGAGCTGGACACAGACGGGAAGAGAAAGCGCACGCAGCCCTTCACGCACGAGTACGGGACAGAGTTGCACAAGCGTCTGCGGGAACCTACAGGCGCACACGCTCGCGCACACCAAACTGCTTAGAAATCCGCTGCCCAAAAGGACAGAGCCTTGCTCTAGAAGTTCCACCTGGGGGCGGCGGCCCTCAGGAGTGAAGCCGGATCTGCCTCGACCTCGGCGCGGTGGGTAACAGTCGGCGGGGACGCAAAA